GCGTCTTGGAAGGCTTCTGGGGCCGGTCGGACCAGCTTGGCGGTAATTTCAAGCATTCTCGGGGTTGTCTTGAGCCCGTCCGGGGGGGGGGCGAATTAGGTGACGCCCATCCGGGGGGGGGGTCCCTTATCATTCGATCGGGAAAAGGAATATGTTAAGCACACTCGCCTCTTGGCCTTTCACGAGGCCCACAACGGCCCAAAAAGCCTCCAACAGCGACCCCAAATAACCCAGGAGGCCCCCAAAAAGGCTCCAAGACGGCCAGCGAGGGCCCCGCGAAGGCCTCAGAAACAACCGCAACGGCCCAGGAGAGCCGCAGGACGGCCTCAAGAGGGCTCGAAAATAGGCCAAGAGGGTCCCTATTCCTGGACGGCCCACGAGGGCTACGAGTCGTCGAGAGATCGCTCCAAGACGCTCCAGATTGCCTCCCGGCGGTCCCGCAGGCCCCCAAGGCGCCCCAAGAAACCACCCAGAGGCGTCCCAAGAGGCTTTCCAGAAGCAAAGAGCGTTTCATTTTCTATGGACAACATACATTTCCAGCGCATTCGCCTTTTCGGCTTGCACGAGGCCCACGACAGCCCAAGAAGCCTTCCAGATCGACCCAACACGACCCCAAAAACGTCCCAAAAGGACTCCATGACAACCCAAATGGGCGCCAAGAGGCCCCAGAAGCCACCAAACCGACCCAGGGCGGCCCCAGGGACGCGAGTTACGACTCGTGAGGAAATCGCTCCCAGACGCCCGCCATTGCCTCCAGCTGACCCCTGAAGCCCCCTAGGCGCCACAACACGCCACCAGGACGCGCCCCAACAGGCCCGGCAAAACCGAACCCCGGCCACTTCCCGAAGGGAAACGACTAAATTTAACACGTTCGCTTCTGGAGCCTTCACGAGTCCCACAGCAGCCCAAAAACTCCCAAATTCAACCCGCACCCCCCCGCATGCCCCCAAGAAGGCTCCAAGACGGCACGCACGGGCCCCAACAGGGGCCCCCGCAGCCACCAGGGAGAGCCCCAGGACGGCCCCAAGAAAAGGGCAAAAAGGGAAACCCGAATAGACCGCTTTCCCCACGCAAGAATCGTTCGCCATGAGCCCCCCGGACCCTTCCCGGCATCCAGTCGCACTCGTTTTCCCAAATGCATCCAACCGCGGCGACAAGGGAGGGGCGAGTCCGACGGGCTACTTCGCACAAGTTCGTTCCCCGAACTTCTCCCCAGGCCCGCCGATGCAATTTCTTGCCCCAAATCCGTCCGATTCTGAAAGTCCCAGGGCCCAGTAACGGCCCCCGGAGACCAAAACCTATGAAAAACAAAAACTGTTCAAACAACAATTTCTGGAAAGGCGGCCGGGCCTGCCGCGGGCATCTACCTCGATCGAGAAGACGAAGAGGAGAAGGACGAGGGGGTGGAAGAGGAGGAAGAGGAACAACAAACAAACAAAAAATCGTCGTCGCCACCGATGCCTTGCAGATTTTCGCGGTGCTTCGGCCGCCCGAGGCATCTCCTCGAATTCAGCCTCCAGGAGCCGTTTTCGGTTCCCGGGACCAGCACCGAGGGTCCAGGATGAGGATCGACCTCCCTGGCCGGCGCCACCCCACGGGGTGGATCGAGGCTCGAGGCATGAAACTCCCAGTTCTTGGGTGTTCTTCGCCCCCTCTGGGCCTTCAGGAAGCTCCTCGTCGACACAGCTGGGTCCACTCTCGAACTTCTGGCCGATCGCACCCCCAGCTGGGTCTCAACGATCCTCGAGCCTATCCAGGGGGTGGAAAAGAAGGCCTGGGGCAGGCCTCGCGAAGGCCCAAAGAAACCAACATAAGACCACGAAGAACTTCAAGACCACCCCCTACAAGGCCCCCCCTTGAACCCCACGCGCTACGCAAGACAGGCCGACACCCCAAGACTGTCCGGCGATCGCGCGCGCTCCGCGAACTCAATATTTCACTCTTTCTGCCGCCCCAAGAGGTCGGCGGCGCGGCGTAAGCCAATGAATCTCTTGCATCTGAGCATCTGTCACTTGCCGTTCGCTAGGCGGGCGCACGCGCCCCCCGCCCCCTTCCAACCTTCACAAACAAACCGACCCGGGCGCCGACGAGCCCCCCGATCTGCTTGCAATCGACAGCGCTCGAGGGCAGCGACACCAGATCACGATTGAAAGGGGCCAGGGCCGTTGAGGCGGGGCCGGCGTCGGTGCAGCCGCCGCCCAGCCCTCGGAACAACTCCATCAGGGCCGCCTCCGCAGTCGAGTGCTTGACCCTGCCGCCGCTGGGCTGCTGGAGATGCGCCAGCCCTTCCAAGTGGCGCCTAGTGGAGTCCGCCATCTCCGAGGTCAGGCCGAGGCGCCCGCCCAGCTGGCCCCTCGGCTCGGCGACGCGGAAGCCTCTCGACCAATTCAGCGCATCAATAGCTTCCGCCACTAGCGCGGGAAGAACCTCACGCGCACGACCCCGCCGCTGCTGCTTCTGGGATCGCCCGACCCTGGCGGCTGGAACAACGCGTGGGGCCGCCAATGGAAAGATTCGCCGCCGCCCGTCGGCCGCCTGACACGGCCCGCCCCCGACGCTCAAAGGACCGCAGCTGGGGGCGTCAACGCCGTGGTCCTCTCCCATCATCATGGCTTGTCCGCGGGCGCGCCTCGTCCTCCACGAGCCGCCCCGCGCCCGTCTCGTCGTCGTCCTCGTCCGCGCCCGCGCCCGCCGGCGGCGTCGCCGCTGCCATCTCGTCCGACTCCTCGATCGGCGGCGGCGACCCGAGTGCCCCGGCGCGGGCGGCGCAGTGGTCGCGCTCGTCCTTGCAGCGGCGGATGCCCCAAGATCGGAGACCTGGGTCCACGGCCTCCAAGCCCGAGCGAACGCCCTCGCGTGCGTTCGCCAGCTCCCAGTTCGGCGCCGACTGCCCGCTGCAGGGTCGACGATGGCCGCCAGACGCCTGCCCGGCCGCCCGGCGCCCGCGAGGGGCGGCAGGTTCACCTGACCATGCGTCGCGAGCAGATGGAGCGATTTCACGATGGCTTGGAGCTCGCGAGTCACCATATCTGTCCTCGAGATGTTGTTCCCCCTCAAGAAATCCACCAACCACATCTCCAGGTCGCCGCGTCGCCTCTCCACGCGGAGAAGTAGGTGGGAGAGGCAGCCAGGCCCCTCGATGTCACGACAATCCAAGGGTTCCTGGCTCATCTCCGCGGTGAACTTCCTGAAGCTATTGTAGCGACGACCGAACTCATCGTAGTCCACCCAGAGCGCGCGGCTGTCGTCGCCAGCGGCCTCACCGCCCGCGGGAGCCGCAGTCTCCAGCTCCCTCGCCCCAGGCTTGTCAGCTCAATCACCGCCAGCGTCCGCATCCCCAGGGGGCCCAGCGAGGCCTGCCTCCTCATGCCAGCGGAGCTCAGCCCTGTAGGAATCAAGCAGCCGCCGCCTGAACTCGGGGATCGCGAAGCCGACGCCCTCGGCGTGGGCGATGTCGCCCTGCCTCAGCTCGATGTCGTCGCCCAGCCGCGCGCCGCCGCCGCCGACATCAGCCACCCACCGCCCGCGCGAGGCCCTCGGGCGGCCCGAGCGGGGGCGTCGCCGTGCCGCCTGGCGCGTCGCCGAGCGGCGCCGACGGCTCAGCGGGCCCGCCGCCCACCGTCAGCGGCAAGAGTCGGCTGGGCACCACCAGGCCCTCCGCGGTCAGCAGTTTCGGAACAGGCGGCGCCTCGAAACCCAGCTCCTCGTAGGTGCTCGGGTAGTCCTCTTCCTGGAACTTGTAGAAGACCCTTCGCAGAGGCCGAAGGGCCTCCGCGGTGTCTCCCAGCACCACGAACTGCTTCACGTCCATGTTGCCCTCACTATACTGCTCCCCATGGGCCATGGGTCATGAGGTCGGGCCTCATGCTGCGCCAGATCGTGACCTTTTTGCCACTCGCGCCGACGGGCCCGAGCAGCACCCGTTCGTGGAAGAGGATCTCTCCGACGTCGGCGTGCCGCAGCCCGACCGACCTGCCAGGCATGAGCTCACGCGCGAACTCCTCGGCCGAGCGCGCCAAGCCGTCGGCCCCCGGGAACCTCCCCGCGGGCAGCCCCCGCGCCCCCGACATGGCGACGTCGCAGCACCCCGGTGCTCAGGCTGCCCGCTGAGCGCCGACACCCGGTGGCCACCCACGACGCCGCCCCAGCCGAGGCCCTCGGCCTCGCTCTCGGGGCAGGGCGGGCACACCGTGGCCTGCTCCACGCAAGCGGCCAAGGGCGGCCCCCTCGCCGCCTGCGCGAGGCCGCCCACGGCCTCCTCCAGGCGTGTCAGGGCCGCGCCCAGCGCCGCGCGCTCCGCCTCGTCCTGGGCCCGCTGGTCCAGCTGTCCCAGAACCAGCAGCAGGGCGAGCGCGGCGCGCATCGCAAGCTCAGATGAAAGAGACGAGCGAGGCTTGGGCACAGACATTTCCCGGATAGCTCCTCGGAGAGCTAAGGGGGTCTCAGATTAAGAAGCCGGAGCCGCAGGGTAGCCCCGGAGATCGTTCCGGCGGCGGTCCAGGCTGCCCGGCACGGGCTGCTTGACCCTGCAGCGGGTCCAGAAGGTCCTTTTCTAAGCGTTTCCCAATACGCGTGCCCTGAAGCTCTCCAGAAGGTCCTTCGGAAAGTCTCTCCAGGTCCTCCCAGAGGGCTTCGCCAGGCCTTTCCACGCCCTTCGGGCGCCCTGCTATCCGGACTTTGGACGACACAGGTGTGGACATGGAGGGGGGCTGAAAAGAGGGACCTCGACACCCGCAAAGCTTCGCACGTCGTCTCCGTGCGACGCACAACCAGACACCCGAAACTTTCGGAGGTCCTGCAGAGCGCGCCAGGTGCGGCGCCAGAGGCGCTGCCAGGGGGGCCCGGTGCCAATCGGAGAAATCCGCGCGAAACTCCGAAAACATCTGATGTTTGTTTTGTTCCGAGTGTGGGGAGGGGTGTCCAGCGCCGACCCAAGAAATCTGTGCGGGCCTCCGAAAACCCATGCTTACGAGGCTGCTCTGTTCTTCGCGGCGCGGCACCTGCGCCTCGCCGTTGCTGGGGATGACGTACCTGCGGAAAGCAAGCTGCAAGTCGCCCGGCTTCGCGCTTCGCGCTCCTCGACGCGCAACGCGCGGCCACTCTCGCGCCCTCGCGCCCCCGTGTCGCCCCCCCGGGGATGCGCAGGTCTCCGACTCGGATCGCGACGCGCGGAGCGCGACTCTCTTCGCGCCCCCGCGGGCGACCTAGAAGCTGGCGGCCAAACTGAATTTCGGGGGGACGTTTGACGCCCTCCTCTTCCTCCTCCTCCTCCTCCTCCTACTCCTCCTCCTCCTCTCAGCTCTCAGCTGGTGGCACTGGTGTCATCCTGGCGCTGCCATCTCCTCTCCCTCCTCCTCCTCCTACTCCTCCTCCTCCTCCTCCTGCCCCTCCTCCTCCTCCTGTTCCTCCCCTGCGAGCCGCCCGGATTGGGTGGGGGCAGGTGGGGGCCGAAGATCGCGCCGCATCGCCGATGCAATGGCGATGCGACCCGATCCCCCACCCTCATCTATAGGCATCGTGCTACCATGCATGGCCAGAGCAAGTGTCCTCGGAAACGAGCAAGACCTCAAGACGGTCAAACACGATGCCAAGGCGGCTCCACGACCCCAATGCGTTTCAGATAGACTCAAAGCGCCAAGCGACCCGATAATGCCCTCAGTGCGACCACGAGAGGGCCCAGTGACCCGCACATGATCCCGATGTGGCTCCCAGCTGACCGCAGGGCAATCCCAAGGTGGCCCAATCTATAAGTAACAGGTGACCCCGATATGTTCCAACGACCGCGCGATGGCCCCCGGGCGGGCCCAAACCAGCAGAAAATACATACCATGGCACACATCCATGTCCCCAATATGATCCAGTGATGCCTGTCATGTGACCCCGAGACGAAGCCAAACCGCATTCAAATAACTGAACTTGCATCTATATTCGCAGAATGCTTCAGTGGAGCGGGATCCCGCACGGACCACGCAATGACGGGTGGATTGCAAAGTCGTAGAGAGGGGCAGGCGGAAGTTCAACGCCTCATGAGCCCTCGCCCCCTTCGGGGCCGCTGCCGCGGGGAGCCCGTGTTTGCGAGCGCAGCATGCAATCGGGCGCAGGGAAAGACATTCAAGGCCCTTTCGCAACGTCGATGCAAGGGGCGCTGAACAAGCGAGGAACGAAGAGGCGTGTCTGGCCACGGCGAGCCTCGTCCACTAACGGGCTCCACGACCCGTCAGGAACGGCCCGAATGCCATAACCCCTCCTGAGCCCAACGTGGTCCATGTTTCAGCACCTCGACCGCACTCCAGCAACATCTGGGCGGCCTGGACAGATACGACGCGACCCCCAATATCGACAAGCAGTCCGCATTGTCCCGCCTTGTGGGGGCTGGCAGGCTGGGAAGCGCAAGATTCAGCAGTTGAACCGCTTGCTTTCCGACCTTCTCTGACCTCGGCCACCAACTCTTAGAGCTCAGTTTCACTAGTTGTCAGCGTTTCTGCCGCTTCCCTCAGCGCATGGGTAGCCTGGGACACGTTCAATTACAGAGAAGCTGCGCTCCCGAGGCCAGGGTCCTTCATGAAAGCGGATGGGTCCGCGCTCCCGAGGCCACGATCCTACTTGTGAGAAAACCAATCAGGTCTGCGCTCCCGAAGCAGCGATCTCTTGTAAAAGCGATGAACGCGCGGCGCTCCCGAGGCACCGACCCCTTGCAAGAAACAATCGATCCGCGCTCCCGGCGGATGAAGAATGGTTCCGCGCTTCCGAAGCCACCATTTCCTGTAATGGACTAAGAATCCGCGATCCCAGGGCCATGATCCCCAATAACAGTTGCTCCAGTTTCCGTTCGGGGGCCAGACGACGATGCAAACACTTGTTATCTACAGTGTCGCCACCGACCGGTACGATTGGGCATGGACACAACATGAACAGGCGAGACCCTATCCGACACAAGTGTGTGGCTTCGGCCACACTCACTACTCAAGGTGAGAAGGGCTGGCGGGAAGGCGCCTTGAACCCCACCAGCTGAGGCGGCCCTACCCGCTCCTGCTCCGCAAAACACGTTCAGGATAACTGCAATTGCTCCAGCTTCCGTTAGGAGACCAGACGACGATGCAAACACTTTTTATCTACAGTGTCGCCACCGACCGGTACGAGTGGGCAGGGACACAACATAAGCAGTCGAGACCCTATCCGACACAAGTGTGTGGCTTCGGTCGCATTCACTGCCAAACGCGCACTGTCAAATCACGCGCACGCCAGACCCGCACAGGTGCCAACTGGTACGCCGCACCATCAGAAAATACCCAGGAACCGATCGAATTTCTGAGCGGTCCGCGCAGCAATGACATCACAAAATCGTTTTGCAATGAAGGCACACAGTGGCAACGAATAGGGTTCAGCGACCTTTGACCAGAACATCCCGTTCTGTAGTTTTCCTACCAACTGCTGGTAGGGTTGGCCAGAACGTGCACGCACTCTGCGACTGGTGAGAAGCCCGCGAAAAGACAGCCCCGAGAGGTCCACGAGGAATGAGACAAACGTGGTCGATTTCTGAAGGAGCCCCGACCACGTGCAGAAATCTGCATGCGCGATGCTCACATGTTGACGCTCAGTCAAGGACACGATCGAATTACACAACCACAGGCGGGAGGTACGAGGATTTGCTAAACTCCAGAGGGCACGCCTGAGGATCGTTTCGCGAAACAGGCGACAACGTTTAGGTAAGCAGAATTTCGTTGTTGCGCTGATGTAGATGATGATGATGCTGATGATGATGGGTGTGCAGGTAACAGGGCGCTCCCCCCCGGGCGCAGAGCTGGTACAACTGGATAGAACTGGTCATAGAACTGGTCATAGAACTGGTCCATTACAAAAAAAATCCAGCATACATCAGGCCGAAATTCGTAAGATAAATAATTTAAGTGTCAACGATTCTTTAATTTGAAGCGAGCAGTTCTGTGCCGAATTCTGTTTTACAAGACCAGTTCCACGACCAGTTCTATGACCAGTTCTATCCAAATGTACCAGTCCCGCGCAAGCAAATGCCTGCGGCGGGGGGGGCAGCACCCTGTATGCCTGCACACCTATCATCAGCATCATCATCATCAGCATCATCATCAGCATCATCATCATCATCATCATCATCATCACCGGCATCATCATCAGCACAACCACCCACATCAACGCGACAACGAAACGCTTCTTACCCAGACGTGCTTCACAATGTGAAACGCATTAAATTTAGATTCGCGCTCAATTATTATGACTATATAAACTGGTTCTTGAAACACGTATGGGTAAAACATGTCGTTGTTGCGTTGATGTGGATGATGATGACGATGATGATGATGATGATGATGATGATGGTGATGATGATGATGGGCGTGCAGGTAACAGGGCGCTGCCCCCCCCCGCGCCGCAAGCCCATGCTTGCGCGGAACTGGTACAACTGGATAGAACTGGTCATAGAACTGGTCACCCAAATCAACGCAGCAACGCAACTCTTCTCACCTAGACGTGCTTCAACACGTGAGACGCACTCAGTTGACAATAACGTTCAAATGTCAAACTTCTACAAACTGTTGTTTGAAACACATATGGGTAAGAAGAATGTCGTTGTTGCGTTGCTGTGGCTAATGATGATGCGGATGATGATGATGGTGATGATGATGGGCGTGCAGGTAACTTGGCGCTGCCCCCCCCCGCCGCAGGTCTCTGCTTGCGCGGAACTGGTACAACTAGATAGAACTGGTCATAGAACTGGCCCTAGAAAGGGTCCATTACAAAGAAGGGTGCGGCATACAACTGGCCGACATTCTTAAGATAAGTAATTTAGTTGTCTAAGGTTCTTTACTTTGAAGCGGCCAGTTCTGTGCCGAACCCTATTTTCAATATACCAATTCTATGACAGCTGTGCCAGTTCCGCGCAAGCAGAGGCCTGCGGCGGGGGGGGGCAGCGCCCTGTTACCTGCGCGCCCATCATCATCAGCATCATCATCATCACCATCACCCACATCAAAGAAAACAACGAAACTCTTTTCACCCAAACGTGTTTTAACACGTGAAGCGCACTCAGCTTAAACTACCGTTCAAATATCATAGTTACACGAACTGGTCTTTGAAACGCGGTGGGTGGACAGAAAATACCCACGCACATCGCGCCGATATGATGCGACATCGAACTGCGTCGAGCACATGCCCATAGCCCCCGCCCCCCCCCCCCCCCCACCCCCCAAGCTAACGTCGACGGGGGTGGGCGCGAGGCAACGCGCGGGGGGGGGGACACGGGCGCTCCAACTTTGGGTTTGGGGGTGAGGGGGGGCGAGCCACATGCGCATTGCAAGTGTCGCTGCCGTCGCGCCTGATTGTCCCCGCGTCGTCGGCGCGGGCACTTTCTGTCCGGGCGCCGAAGCGAAGCGAGCAAGATTATTGGCCAGCGTCACATTGCGCAGCGGCGAGGGCGACAATCCGGGCAAGCCCCGCGGAACGGCGTCGTTCCAAAGCGGCGGCGGGCCTCCTGCGCGGTCGCGGGCGCGGGGGAGGCGGTGGAGCATCTCGAGCGTCGGCCAGATGAGAAGCCCCTCCTCCCATAGGTTGTGAAACCACATCCACGTCGCCAGCATGCCGATCACCTCGCGCGGTGCCCCGACCCTGGAGACCCCAGGGGCCAGCCGCCTCCAGCCCTTCAAGGGCCTGCGACGGAGGGGCGCGCGGAACCCCGCGGGAAAGGACAGCGCTGCAGCGAGCATCCGCTGGCCGAGGCGCAGGTGGGCACCGTCGGGGTGCATCCAGTCCAGGGGCGCCGCCAGCGCCGCGTCGGCGTCGGCCTCGCTCTCGGGCGTCGCCCGACGGGTCAGCTTCAGCCAGCGCCCGAACGAGGCTAAGTCATCTTGGCGCAGCCGCAACGTAGCGGGGCGAACCGAGTGGGTCTGGCACGCTGTCAAGCCGCCCGCGGCCGTCGCAGCAGCGCGCCGCCGGGCGCTCTCCGTCGCTCGGGCTGCCCTGGCGCCGCTCGGCAGCGGCGGCCGCGCGGCTGCCCGACGCGCCCGCCGAGGCGCCGCCGCCGAGCGGCCGCCGCGAGCCGCCCGCGAAGGAAACGCCCGCGACGAAGACGAACACCCGCTCGCAGGCGCCCGCGCCAGGCCCCCCCGCCGCCCGCGGCCGCGGCGGTCGCGCGACGCCGCGCTCCGCAGCAGCATCCGCGGCGCCTGCCTCAGGGGCGGCGGCCGCGCCCGCCGCGCGCTCGCAGGAGCGAAGCCACTCGATGCTGCGAGGGCGAGAGCGACTGCGGAAGGGAGGGGGCTGCACTGCCTCTCGAGGGTGGCCGCATCCCACTCCGAGGGGAGCCAGCGACGGTGCAACGCGCAACCAGGGGCCCGACAGAGGGCAGCCATCGACTGGGTGACGCGCAACGTCGCTCTCGAGTCGGATCGGCCCCTCGACGCCGCGCAGGTCGCAGCCGGCGCGTCGCCCAGCGCGGCGATCCGCCGCCCGAAGTTCCGAGCGCACCTCATGGCGCGCCGCAGCGCGCGCGGGATCGCGCGCCCCTCCAGGACAGGCATCGGCTCCTCGAAGCCCCACCTGTAACGACCCACAACCTTCCAGTCACGCTTCAGCAGCCTCAGGGGTCCTTCCCGAAAGACACTAGCACGGGAATCGCCGAGGCCAGATCCCATGCGTCCGCATCGCTTCCACTAGACGGGGGCTCTCCATCGGCGTCCCAGAGGCCTCCAGCTCCGCTGTCATGTACCCCAGACAGCCAGTGGACCCCAGGGCCCCCCGAGACGGCCGCAGCAGCGGCAGCCTGGAGACGCGGCGGAAGTCGAGCGCATCGTGGGAATCGCCATCGTTCACAGCGTCTCCCAAGACAACGGGCCTCCTCGGGCGAGACAGGCGACGAGCGCGCCCCCGGACCAGTAGGAGAAGCGCCCGCGGCGCGCAGCGTCGGCCCCCGAGGCCTTCAGGTTCCGCCGAAGCAGCGGAGATACCCCGTCCCAGATGGTGAGTTCCTTGATCATGCTGGCCCACAACGGGGCCCCCTCGTCGTAAAGCAGCGGATGACCGCGAACAGCGCGTCGAACGCAGACAGGGCCCCCCTGCGGATCAGGCGGGTGAGCCCCATGTGCCCCGCGAGCCTCTGGAGAACCCTCCCAGAGACACGACCGCGGCGAATAATAGCACGAATGCAAAGACGAGCTCCCCAGACTCTGGCCCGAGTGGGCCTCGACGCAGCGGCGCGACAACTGGTGTCCCATCCCAGGGCAGTGCGATCGCGGGCGGCATCGTCGTTCGGCGCGTCGACATCGGCGGCCGCGACGAGCCCGGCCCCCCCCCCCGCGCACCTTCGACAACGGCCCGGGCGAGACGATGAACCTTCGAGGCAACTGTCGAAATAGGAGCGAAGTTATCAGCGCACTCCAAGTGACAGGAGCCAGATAGAGATGGGGCGACACGTCGATCCTGCAGCCGCTCCAGCCCATCGGGCGCGCGAGAAGCCGCGGGCGCACCCAGTCTCCGTCGCGGATGGGCTGCCCCCCAGTTCCGCCGGACCAACGCCGTCGGCGCGCGCGCGACGCAGGGCGAAGAGATCGCGGGGCTCAACGGGCAACTCAATATGATAAAACGCATTCGACAGATCGGCCTCCGAGATGTACGACGCGCCATCCCCCTCCACCGCGGGATTCCCAAGGGCGTCTCCAATGCGCAGGGCGACGTTGTCAGGCCCCCTAAACCAGATGTCACTGCGTCGGCAATCGCAAACCAATATCAATATCTGGTCCTTTTGGCACGCGGAAGAACTCCACGGACTCGCGGCCGCGGTCGCATGCAAAGTCAATCAGCCCGCTGCGACGAAGCCGCGAGAATCGCTCCACGCGCGTGGTCGGCGAAGCGAGGAAATGGATGAGGGCGCCCTCGCGCCGCGCGTGCTCCTCCTCTCCAGCGCTGGCCCCGCAGGTGGCGCGCCGGCGCGAATGAGCTCCGCGACGCGCCGGCGCCCCACGGCGCCCCGCAGCGCCGGGAGGGCACCGCGCGGATCTCCGCGGCAGGTAGAGAGAGCAAGTCGGGATTGTAGCCCCCCAGCCTCGCGCCCGCGTCAGAGCCGTAGAAACTGGGCGCCCGAAGCCTCCCCGGAGCTTCCGGAGTGGGGCGCCCAGCGCGGAGACAGACTGGCGCGCGCGCGCGCCGCGATGCGATGCTGCGCCAACGACAGCGGCCCCTAAGAAGCCCGGCCCTCGCCCCCCGGCATGGCGCCAGGGGAAGCGCGCAATTCATTAAGGGCAGGTACCGCCCGATGAACATCCAGATCCCGAGCGCGACGACGCAGCGCACGTCGCTGGCACCCGCGAGGCAAAACTCCTCCGCGCTCTCGACGGTCGGCCGCGATCGGCGGCAGAGGCAGAGGAGGGGCGCTGTGAGCGACATCCCGAGAAGGCCCATCACGCCCGAGAGGAGACCGATGGAATTCGCCACGCAGAGGCGCCCCCGCCCGATGTGCGGGCAGGAGCCGCGGAGGGGGCGTTCCATGCCCCCTTCGACCTTCATCGTCCTTCTTGCCCTCCTTGCGAACCTCCTTCTCTTCGCGAGCTTCGCGGGAGTTCTTTGCCGGGGCAGCTGCTCGCTCCACTTCCTTCCGAACGTGCGCCAGCAAGTCGGGGCAGACCATCGAGCTCGAGTGCAAGCGCGCCGACCCCGAGAAGTGTGTCTGCTCCTCGATCGAGAGCCTGCCGCTCTGGTTGGCTCCCTCCCTTTCGCGCACCTTCTCCAGATGCGAGTACTCCATCGTTCGCATTATCGTGAGGATGGCCTCGCACGCCTGCAGGTTAGTACCATCGCAGTGGTCAGACTGCAGCAGCAAGCGAATGAACTGCGAGCAGTGGAAGTGCCCCTGCACACCCCACCGCGTGGGCTCGAGCTTGACACCAACACGAAATCGATCATGGCGACCGTCGATCCCCACCCCCGCGTTGTTGATGGAATCGATGCACCAGAACGCTGTGCGAGGACCTGTCACCAACCAGTCGCGGCCGAAGTCCTCCTCGCGCATGCGTGCAGCCATCGTAGCCCAGGTGACCTCCCGCCGAGCTCTAGTCCGCATGATCGGCAGCGCACGGGCGTCCGCCGCCACCGCGCGGCCCATGAAGGCCTCCAGGTCCTCGGGCGCGATCCCCTCCACGAACAGCGCAGTGCCATCCGCCAGGATGTGGAGGTCACGCCCGTGAGCCGCCGCGGCAGACGGCATATGCCCGTTGACCACGTCGCCGTACCGGTAGTCCCCGAGCGACTGAGCAGCCTGCCGGCGAACACCGCCGTCGGCCACCACCTGCGCCGCCGCCGCACCCTGCAGCGCGCTTGGCAGGGGGCCTGCCGGCGGGGCCACCACCACAGCTGCGCCAGCCGGCGGCCGTCTGCTGGCAGCGCTGGAAGGCCAGGACCTGTTTCTCCGCCGCGCTCGGCTCCTGACCGAAGCGATACGGGCAGCGCTCACCCCGCGCGGCACGATGTCCCAGCCAGTACTCCAGCGGACCAGATCCACGTCCTCGTTCTCCGTCTCGTCGTACTTTTCGATGTACGTGTCGCCGTCGGGCGTCGTGCCCACGTACCCAAAAGCCGATCGCGCCACGCGGCCGGAAACCCACCGCTGGTGCACTAGATCATCCCCGTCGTACCTGAGCCACCCCCACTGCATAGCTCACCGCCCTGGACACCGCAAAGGCGCCGACGCCGCCAACCACCGCCCCGAGCGCGAGCCCACGCAGGAAGGCGCACGACGTGTCGCAGTCCTCGCCCTCGCCGGCGCCCCCGCAGACAGGGCAGGCAGCGCAGGCGGTGCCTGCCGGCGGCGCGGGATCCCGCGCGGGTCGGCGGCCCTCCACCGCGGCCGCCGGGCAGGTCAGCGACGGGCACATGGGGCAAGTGACGCTCGCTGGTGCTGGGCACGAAAAGGTGGGGCACGGCGCGCACGCGAGCGAGCACCTGGAGCACTCGGGCGCGCGCGGGCAGCGCTGCAGGTAGGCCACAATCACGTCGCGCGTGGTTCCAAGCACCCACCAAGGCCACATCCGACGGGGCCGCGGACCGCTCCCCCCGTTCCGTCTTGAGCCCCAACGGTTGAGGCGGCCCTACCCACTCCTGCTCCGCAAAACACGTCAGGATAACTGCACATGGAACCCACGCTGAGGCCGCGGCCCGTGGCAATTGGCACTCACCAAGAATACCTGCTCTCCCAAGGACAAATGGCTCCCACAGCAGAGGGTGGTTTAGTGAATCAACCACGCGTGCCCAGCTCTCCCGGCGCCTCTCGGCGCCGGAGGCACCGATGCACCGAAGCACGGGCCTGGCGGCGGGGCCGAAAAAAACAGCCGCAAGCAGCAGTCTTCGTATTCGCCCTCTCTCCTTCTCCCTCTTCGCTCCACCGCGACCACTCACTTGGGCATGAACAGCCCTCACGCAGTTTGCGGCCCCCGAGGGAGCTCCACCGCAGGCCCCAGAGGGAGCGTTCGCATGTGGGCGTCACGCCCGTTTCGGCACATCCATCACACGTTTCATGCCCCCACAGGGAGCTCCGCCGAAGTCCCCAATGGCACGGTCCGCATGCGGCCCCCGCCCCCCGCCGCATTTCGGCATGCCCCTCGCTCGCTCCGTGTCCCCATGGCAATCCACAGAAGACCATACTCAGAGCTGCGGAACTCACAGCGATAATTTTGCGCCCTCCCCGGTGGCAGGGCGCCGCCTGGGGAGGGCGTGGCCGTGCTCGATCACGGCCCGAGTCCGATGAGGAGGATGAGGCAGGAGGGATGGGACGGGAGGGAGGGAGGGAGGGGAGGGCAAAACTAGAACAACGCAAAAAACTGCAAAAACACACCCTTTCGAATATCCGCGCGGATTTCTTGGCCCCACTCGTCGCGCTGCAACACCCCCCTCCCTGGCGCGCGGAGGGCGCCAGGGGCGGCGCCAGGGACCTTCGAGAGTTTCTCTTCGACCAACTAGGGCCTGGGGGGGGAGGAGGGGAGGACGCGGCGGGGCGGTCGCCGCCGGCCCCAGGAGTAGCCCCGCGGCAGCGCCAGCAGCGAGCGCAGGTCGTCCGCCTCCTCCGAGGCGGCGGGCGCCGCCGCGGGGCCAGCGGCGGGGACGAGCGGGGGCTGCTGGGCCAGCCGCGCCAGGGCCTCTCGGCAGCGCGCTGGGTGAGGGAGGGTTTTTGTCCAACCATCCTGTGGTGTTGGGTCCTCGCTTTAGAGATACAGCGCCCCGCGTCTCCTTTCTTCCTTCTGCCCCTCCTCCCCCCCTCCTCTCATCCCTGCTTCTGCCCTCCGCATGTCAACCAGTTCGGCACGCCCCTCACGCGTTTCGGAGCCCCATAGGGAGCTCCACCGAAGGCCCCAGTGGCCGTGTTCGCATGCGGCTCCCCCGCCCAGTGCAGCGCTTCGTGGCCTCATGAAGAGTTCGACCGAAGGCCCCAGTCGACGCGTTCGCATGCGGTCTGCAGCGCTTCGTGGCCCAACAGGGAGCTCCACCGAAGGCCCCAGTGGCTGCGGCCGCATGCGACTCCCCACCAACACAGCGCTTCGTGGCTCCACAGGGAGCTCCACCGAAGGCCCCCTATGGCGGGGGCCGCACACGTCTCCCCAACCCAGCACACCGCTGCGTGGCCCCATGAGGAGCTCCACCGAAGGCCCCAGTGGCCGCGGCCGCATGCGCCTCCCCCGCCCCTGACAACGCCTCGTGGCCCCATTGGGGACTCCGCCGAAGGCCCCAATGGCCGCGGCCGCATGCGACTCCCCCACCCCGCACAGCGCTTCGCAGTCCCACTGGGAGCTCCACCGAAGGCCCCAATGGCCGCGGCAGCATGGATCTCCCCCACCCACAACGGTGCACCCCTCAAGCGCTTCGTGGCGCCATAAAGGGCTCCACCGCAAGCGGTACCCATAACGCAGTATTCACAACTGCGTATGGTTGGGGCTCCTATCCTGGACAAATGTAGCCGCGAGCACGCCATTAACAGGTCGCCTCTGGGAATCGGTCGCCCGCAACCACTGGACATAAAGACGGCGTGACCGAAGGCGGTCGCCAACACGATTGTGCCTGGGAAATTCGAAGGGCCCAAGGAGGGGGGGCAATGGGGAGCGAAGGAGGGAGGAGGGAGAGAGTCGCGAGCCTTCAGAGAGGTTCGACCTCCATTATGCAGGCTTGTTTCCTAGATTCTGGGCATCTTTTCGCCTGGGTAGAAGCTCAGCCTCCAGAGCGAAACGTTCGATCCTCTGGGCCGGCTGGGGCACGTGGCGTGCAGCCGTGGCAACGAAAGGCCTCAGAAACGCTCAGAAACCCCTGAAACAACGACGACGGCTACGACGGCGACGGCGACAGCGGCGACGCCGGTGACGACCGACCGACCGACCGGCGACGACGACGACAGTGACAGCGACAGCACTGGCGACGACGACCGACCGACCGACCGAAGGGCACTAGCGGTGGTGACGACGACGACGACAACGACGACGACGACAACGACGACGACGACGACGAAGAGGACGAGGACGAGGACGACGACGACGGCGACGACGACGACGATGACGACAGCGACGACGATGACGACGACAACGACGACGACAACGACCACGACGACGACCACGACCACGACGACGACGACGACGACGACGACGACGACGACGACGACGACGACGACGACGACGACGACGACGACGACGACGACGACGACGACGACGGTGGCGGCGGCAGCGGCGGCACCGACCAGCCGAGCCGCCGGTCGACCGGCTGCGGCGTCGGCGGCGGCGGCGGCCACGACGCGTTGCCCTCCGCGCCCCCGCCCCGAGGGCCTCCGCGGCGGGCAGCCCAGCGAGCCCGCAGAGCCCGCCTGGCCCCTCCCCAGCGTTGCGGGCCGCCGCCACGCCCAGTGCGCCCGCCCGCTCCCGCAGGGCCTGCGCGCCAGGCGCCACGGCGGCGGCAGGTGCCACGGAGCGAGCGTCGCGGCAGCGGCGAGCGCCGGGGAAACGTCGGCGGCGAACTGCGGCGAGGGCGGCGGCGGCGAACGGCGAGGGCGGCGACGGGCGCCACGGCCGTGGCGGCGAGGACGGCGGCGGTGGCGACGGCATCGACCTCGCCGTCGCCAGCGAGGACGCCGACAACGACGACGGCGCCGACGACGAAACCATGGCGGCGACGACGACGAAGCTTCTCCTCCGAGACCTTCTCCTCCTCATCCTCCTCCTCCTCCTCCTCCTCCATGTTTGGAAATCTTCTGAAACATCAACGGCCCTAAATGTCTCCAGAAACCCCAGAGGCCTCAACCCTGGGCAAGTGAAAAACGAAACCACGAACAACGTGGGGTTGGGTCTTTGGCCCCGAGACCGTGACAGACCGATTCGGCTGTCGATGGCTCTGGTCGTGCTGTTTTCGCGACGTCGTTGTTTTTGTCGACGTCGGATCTCAAGGAAGCGCCACGGGGGAAGCGCGGCTAGCAGGAAGACTAACTAAGAAGACGAGAAGGGGAGGGATTCAACGTTTAGCTTTTTGGGGCCCCCGGGGAGGCTTTCGCGGCCGCGGAGGTGTCCAGGACCGAGAACCTTGACATCCCATCGTCGCGAAACATGTGCGACAACCATGTCGGAGCCCCTGGCAGAAGGATAAGTTAGTTTGTGCTACTTCGCGCGGGCAGCTGCGTCCACGACCACCGTGGCCAGACGCAGTCGGACGGGCCAGCGGGTGGTAGCAAAACTTTGCGCCGCGGCGGCGCCGGGCGGCCGCGCTTCCGCATGCGGGCCGCCGAAGGGGCGCAGCGAAGGGCTCCCGCTGCCGCAGAGGCGGTCCCGTCGCAGGGGGTCGCTCCTCCACCTTCCTGCAACACTGCAACACTGCTGCGGACCAGGTCGATCAAAGACCCTACCTGATGTAAACAAAAAAAGAAACAGCACTGGCCTCCATCAGTTTCTAACATCCTTGAAAACTCACAAAAACCTGGCGGGAGTGAGCTGCACGATTCGACTAGGGGGTTCTGTAACAACGCGGAGGGGCCAGGGCTCTGTTACCGCAACAGCGTTCTCAGGAAGACGACCCTTCCGAAGCTTGCTCAGGTCTTTCAGCGAACTAGGTGCGGGGTGACATGGGCCACAGAGCTCATTCGCTTCCGTCGTGCCCTCTTACCCACACCTTTTCACGGACAAAAAAAACAAGGAAACTGGACGGCATCTGGACGGCGGCCCACCAGAAGTGGGGGTGCCCTTCCTCCCTGGATTTGCTTATCAGGCTAGCCACCGTCGGGGAAAATTCGAAGCATTTTGAAGTAGCCAGCAACCTAGCCCCCGTTCTATATCACTACTGGCATCTCCATTGATGGCAATCCCAGGAGGCGACATGGGGCCTGGGCAGCGACGAGATTACCCTAGCCCTCTGGATCCTGGGGAGGGCCCCATGCAGGTCCTGGAAAGGGGCGGACAGCAGACCAGAACCTGGAGCATGTTCTCACTGCTGCTTTGTACAGCTTCCTGGCCTCGTTGAAAGCCTTGAAATTAGCTGCGCACAAATGATTGGCCTGCGCCACTATCTCCGCGCTGTGGCCAGCCAGCTTGCTATCGCGAGTGTGGCGCAGGTCTAGACTAGAGGAGGCTTCGGCTTCATCTCGATGGGCCTTCACCTTGCAACCAACATATGCGGGCATGCCAGAAATTCGCCAGTGCCCAGCAGGCGGCGACGAGTGGTGCTTGGCCTGGAGAAAATTAAAACGCCTCTAGACGACCGCTTGGCACTCGGAGCGCAGGACGGCCCCCAGGGAAGCAACGACCAGAGCGGGTGCTGGAGCCTCTGCTATCTCGAGGTGGAGCTCAAACGTGCGCGCGGAGAGGCGCTCAGCCGCAGCCGCAATTTGCGGCGCCCCGTCAGGGGCGGCCCCGCAACACCCGCGAAGCAACTGGCCAGTTTCTAACACCTCGACGACGGCCCGGCCAGCTCGAGCTACCCCTGGAGTGGCCCCGTCGAATCAACTCCCATCATTGTAGCGGCGATCTCTCCGGCTAAACAGAAACAGCTCACGCGGCCCGCTGTCGTCGAACAAATCAGCAGCTGGCGCTTCCGCAGGCCTGATCGTGCGCGGGGGGGCGGGCGCCCACGGGGAGGCGAAGTAGGGGTCGTTGGGCGCGCGGCGAAGCACAGTCGCGCGAATTTCCCCATCTCGGCCTTCCCGCCCCACTTCGCACCATGGGCGCAGCCCCGCGCGCTGGGGCGCAGACTCGGGGCCCCACGGCGCGGGCGCAACATGTCGGCGTCGCGCCCCCACTGCGTTAAAACTAACCCTGCCGGGCGTTTGCCCACAAAAACCGTCCAAAATCCGCGCGCATTGTCTTAGATACTTCGTGCTCCCAAGGAGGCGAAGGGGCCCCGGGGTTCGCGGGCCGCGCCCGCGGATCTCCTGGGCCCGCTCGCGGCAGGAGTCTCCAAGAGCCCTTCTCGCCGAAGGTTTCAAACATCTCTTTCTTAAGCCGCTGACAATACTTCGGGCCATTAGCTGGGGGCGGGGTGGCGGTCAGACGATGGCGCGAATCATCTGCCCCCTGAAACGCCGCTGACGAGCTGGCCCCCCGCCCTGCTCGCTGCGCCCAGAAGCGCGCGTCCGCCAGCTCCCAGCTCGATTTGCGCAGCCATGGCGCGGCGTCGGGCCGACCCCCCAGGTGCTCCAACGCGACGTGGAAAGCGTTCGTTGGCCCTCGGGCAGGCAAGCAATTCCTGCGAGAATCCGCCTGGCTCAAGGCTGCTCAAGGCTGCTCACCTCCTTGCCATGCAATCCTGGGCTAGCTCAGGTTCGCCTCACCTCAGGTTCTCGGATGGTTCTTCACTGCGCCCAGCGTGTCAATTGCCAGAAATGCCCCCCATCAAGCCATAGATCAGAGTAGCCAGCGCCGCTGACCGATTCAGAACGACGCTAACACCAGAGAGGAAATACGGCGGCGCTGCATTTAGTCCAACGTCACCGATGTGGGCCGCGAGCGTGGCCAGTCCGTCACACGGCTCGGCTATCCCCTGCGTGCTCTCACACGACCCAGTATTGTCTGATGGAACAGTGCGAGCCTTGGCCTCGAAGGTGGCCGATCCAACGCCCGCGATGATCCCGCCATGTGCGTGGATTCCATCTGACACGAGTCCGTCCAACTGCAACCTCCGAGGCCACTTGTGCGTGCGTAGAGGGTATAGCTCCTATCGGATACTCCACTTCAGAGGCCACCTGCCACAGACGACGATGGCTCACGCGCTCGCAGAGTTGCCGCAGGCACCGCAGGACTTTGAAAATGTGGGACCCATCTTCCGCTGGGGCTCGGCCTCGAATGGGCCGTCTCCACGGGGCGTCAGGCGGGCCCCGTCCAGGGCCCAGACTGCAATGCGGATGATCCACCAATTCACGCTCCAATTGGCGAGCTTGCCAAGCAGATGTCCCGCGCGCAATCTGACCGCACTGGCAAGGAAGCCCGCGGGCATGCGCCGTTTTTCCTGCATCCGGCAAGGACTGACGATGACCCGCTGATGGTTGGAAGGCGCGCTGCAGGTCATGTCCATCTCGGCGAAAAGACCTCCCAGCACCTTCAGCGATGCATCTCCTAGGTGACTGGAATGCCTTGGGCGGCGCCGCCTGTCGCCGCCGCTCGCGCCATGAACTTAGAAGATGTTCGCCTCGAGAGGCCCGGTCCAACTCGCGCTCTAACTTTAGCTGGGGCTTCCAGGTCTGGGCCGCGACTGGCTCGGCAGCCCAAGCCGTCGACCAGTGAAGCCGCTGCTGCTCGAAAGTTCCCCCCGGAGACATAGTCGCTGCACTATCAGACCTTGCGTCGATGCCCTCCTGGGCCAGCTTGATCGTAGAATGGGAGCGGGCTTCGCTGGCCGCGTTGCCGAGCGAATCCTCGCGCCGCCCCATCCATTCCTCACGCTGGCGCTTACAAGCCTTGCTGATCTCGCCCTTTCGAACAATCGTGAGAAGTTGCAGCAGGGCCCCCCATCTCTACTTCCGAGCGTGGATCCTGCAGCTGGAGAGCGGATGCGAATCTCGATATCAGAAACTAAATCAAACCACGCCAGCCCGGTCCTGCGCAGCCAAGATGTCCACGGAGAGGGCTGCCCCGATGTTCCTGTCCGCGGGGCGCAATGACCGGTCTCCAGAGGCACGCTGAATCCTGTCCTGCACAGGACTTCCCGCGGTGGCCCCTCAACTCAAGGAGTCCGTTATGGGGCCGATGGAGGGCGACCGCGGACAGCTTGCGCACGCCTGATTTGCGGCCTGGCTGCGCCCGGGGGATCTCTCGGCGGCAGCCGCGGAAGACACCTCAATCCATGGGCCGAGGAGGCTGGGAGACAGGAGTGGCCCGCTGTAGCTCCTTCCAAGTTTCTTTGACCCACCCCTGGTAGAAGTCGCCCTAAGTCTGTCGCCGGTTGATTCTGGTTTGGCCTGTCAGGGCGCTGAGGTCCCCGTCCTGGGCGTGGCTTTCTAGGCCCGTCAACTTTCCTTCGCGTCGCTGTAGCTCGAAGGCGCCAGTGGGGGCCCCGTGCCAAGCTCAGTAGGCGCCGTCGCGCTGTTGACGAGGATTTGAACATGGATATATTTGGTGACCCTGGAGAGCGACAATTAAGTGAACTGGTCCGTTGGGGCCCGGGACCACCGGCCAAGCTCCGCCTTCGCTTCGGACGCGCGGACATCGGGCGCTTCGAGAGCTGGAAGTAGCCCAAGTTACCAGTTCCCCTAGAATACACATGCGATGATGCAACTGGATCAAAAAGAAGCCCTCCATGTAATATGTCAAGCTTCGTTCCTGCTCGGAGCTCTGCTAACTCGGCATTGCAATCGCCGGCGCATGCATGTGGACAGCGTGCGTGGAGGATGTGGGCTCCGAACCAGCGAGTCAGATCTGAATTGACCTCCGCCATCTAAACCGTGTCTCGCAGATACACAGGGTAGAGGCTGAGAGCTCCTAGATCCGAGGATCTCGAGACACAGCGCGCTAGGTGCCTCGGGATAACCGATGGCCCCTGAGGGCCTGCCCAAACGCCCAGGCGCGGGCGCCGCCACGCACTTTTTTTGTGTGCAGCAGCTCCAGGAAGTGGCCAGAAAGAACGCCACCCATTCAAGAGCAGCCAGCTATTGTGTTCCACCTGCTGGTTCAGAGTCGGCCTATGCTCCTGGATCAAAACAGCATCCGCATTTTTGCAGCTGCCTAGAACAGACCTCTCTGCCCACTTCCACAATGCAGCTCCCTCCCGCCTCCTCCTCCTCTCCGACCTCCAATTGGAGATTGCACCGCAGCGCGTTAAATACCATTTGTCGGCCAGGAACCCCCAGCTGGCACTTTCAGGGTGGCCTGGGGTCTCTGGGGTCTGCATGCGGGCCTTCACCCTGTCATGGACGGCCTGGATCACGGCCTTCCTGGTGGCTTCTGAGACCCCGCTGACGTCCGTGGCCCCTTGGAGATCGCCCCTGTCCAACTGCATTCTCCTGGATCCTGGTCGAACCTGGCCTCCTGGAGTTGCAGCAGCAGGGGCCCCTGGCACAGCGGCAGGAGGAGGGTCCGCAGCAGGAGCAGGACCGATGGCGCGAACTGATGCAAGCTGAGATGTAAGACCTGCTTTGCCTCTGCATTCTGGATGTCCGGGACGAAGCGCTCGAGGGAGTTGAGCAGGGCGCGCACGGGGTTCGCGAAGGCCTGCGGGATGACGCCCGCGGACGCCACCTCCTCCGCTGCCTTCCTGGCCTCGACCAGGTCGCCCTCCTCCTCTGACGCTCAAGCTTCGCCTTGGCCTGTTGCAACTGTGCGACGCAATGCTATATGCGAAAGATGTCCTGCTCCTTATTCTGGAGCTGCTTACCAGGAGGGGTTGTCTGTTCTTTCGCACGTTGGTGCTTGACCCGCCCTGAGGCCAAGACCTCCGCCACTTGTTTACCGACCGGATTGTTTGGGCCCTGGGACTTCTGATAGGTGCGATGTAGCTCGTCATGAGGAGACTGTTCGGCGCGGGGCCCACGACGAGGGGGACAACCAGGACGCCTTGAGTCTGTTTCACCTGCTCCACCTCCCGCATCAAAACCTTTTACCTCCTCCTTGCACTTATCCTCCTCCTTTCTTGCCCTTGCCGTTTTTGTTATCTTGTTTAACTCCTCCTCCGCGACCTCCGACGTCATCATGGGGTACCCAAGGGTGACGAGCCCACACGCCATGGGGTCCAAAATCAGGCTGACGGGGCAAGGTGGGCCAATTCCGCTCCGCAATGATATCACCACCGAAACGAGACTGGATTACGTTTGCAACCACACACATAATGCAGACAGGCCCCAGGGCATGACCACGCCACGACATGCGGCGGACCGAGAAACCGAGGAGTGGGCGCGCGCTTCGCACGCCTGTCGCGCAATGACTGGGCGAGGTTGGAAAGTCAAGGATGGGTTTAAGCCCACCCTTGAGCCCAAATGGCTACGGCCATCCTTCCTTCTCCTCCTCCTCCTCCTCCTCCTCGTTGCTTGCACGTTTTATGCTGCGTCATGCCTCCTCCCCCTCCTCCTCCCCCTCCACCTCCTCCTCCTCCTCCTCCTCCTAATCCTCCTCTTCGTCCTCCTCCTCCTCCTTCTCCTGTGCCTGCTGGCCTCCTCCTCCCCCCAGCGGAGTGGAGACCCACGCGAACTAACTCCTGCCGTGGATGCCCAGGGCCTCGCCGTCCAGCACCACGTAGGACTCGAGGTCGCCCAGCCTGCAGCGCAGCCGCTGCACCTCCTTGCGGCTGCATGCAGAAGTGACCCTGCTGACCTTTGGTGCGCGGTTGTGGGGGTGGGCGAGGGGCCAAACCCGAGCGCACAAGCCGCTGCTATCGCATCGCATTCAGCCATCGGGGGGCCCCAGTGGGCCCGCTCGAAAGGTCACTCTGGCGAAGGGTCACTCTTACGCGTGCGCGGCCTTTGAAGGGCGCGGGGGGCCAAACCCGACCCCGCAAGCCGCTGCTATCGCATCCCTTTCAGCCATCTCGGACCCCAGTGTGCCCGCACCAAGGGTCACTGCGGCGGAAAAGCAACTCTTACGCGTAGCTGGCTCCTGCCGCAGCTGCGCCGCCTCGGACGCCCCGTCCTGACGGACTGGCTGCAGGAGCTCCGTGCCGGGGGGCAGCAACGTCGTGCGGTCGGCAGCGGCCTGGTCCGGCTGGGGCGCTGGCTGCAGCGGCAGCTGCGCGGTGCCGGGCTGGCTCAGAGCGCTGGCGCCCAACCCCAGCGTGTCCAGCCGGGAGAGCTCGACCATTGCTCCGAGGTGCTCGATCTGCTGCTCCCGCAGGTCCAGCAGCCCCGCCATCAGCTCCAGCTCCTTGTGCTTCGCGGCCATCATGGCGGCGGCCTCCTCGTCCTTGGTCTGGAGCAGCTGGGTCACCTGTGGGTTCAGTGGCCACTGGCACTGTTCAGGAAGCCATGGACTTATAAGCTGCAGGGCACAGAAACGCGACGACATAGTTTGGGCCTTAGGGCCCAGCGGTGCCGCGGCTGGCTACGCTAATCGATCCTACGGCTTCCCAGGGATGCTTCCACTGTTCTCGAGACTATCCGTTGTTGTCGCGGCCCGATCCATTGGCTATTCTTTTGGCGGCGCGGCGTCACAAGTGCATCCAGAGGCCAAAGGGACGGGGTCAGCCCTAACTGCGCCCGCAACGCATGTAAAGGGTAAGGCGAGGGGGCGGCCTTACAAGTAGGCACCCCGTCTCTTAGAAGCCCTCCTGCTCTCTGACAAGCCTCCCACAGAAGCCTTTGGGATGAAGCCGATCCCGTCTAGGAGGCCAGTCGAATCGGGTCTCAGTGACGAGGGCCTTTCCAACCTGTCCAAATCCCCCCAACAGCGCTGCCGGCTGAGGTTTCATCCAGCAGCCAGGTGTTAATGACGATGTTTTTTCTTCTTCGAAAGTTGTCGCCGCGCCCCCTGCCGCCCTCCAGTCTGGATCGCTGGCCGTTCGCCAGGGGAAAGGAAATGCACTAGGCACACACACACACGATAAGAGGCCTTGCTATGCGAAATCTGTGGGCACATCGTTTGTCGACTTCGAGCTTCGCAAGGCACCAAAGGGGCCCCTGGGCCCATCGGAAGAGAAAATCTCCCATGGGCCATCTGCTCGTACGGAAGGTCCGTGTTGTGACGACTCCGGCGATGGTTTCTGACACCGCGTGGACCGTTCAATCTTAAGAGACCGGCGGCTTTTCGATCGCGAGCTCGTTTCATATTTAAGGATTCTGGGCCACCAGCAACGTTCAACCTTGAAAGCCCACGGCGGGTTCGCCGCCGCGTCGACACGACGCGAACCTGCCGTAGTCCGGCTTCTCATTGCATGCGTGCCTACTGCATCGACAGCCGCCGCAGCCGTGGCCCGTCATTTCGGACGCTCTCCCCCCAGCGGACCTGCATCTCCTCCAGGGGCCGCGAGGCCTCCAGTGCCCGCACCCACGCGCGCAGGTGCGCCGCCTCGGCGTCCTTGTGCTGCAGCGCCAAGTGGTGCTGGTCGTGCTGCGTGCTCAGGAGCTGCTCGTAGCCCAGCTGCGTGTGCCACGCCTTTCCAGATCTCCGACGGCATGGTTTTTTGTTTTTCCCGACCTGGACGTTGATCTTTCGTTTCGGCCTGTGGGGCCAGCTATCGGACCCAAGGACCATCAAACATGGTTCTGGGACGGAAAACTGCTCCAGGGGAAGGGGTGGTGACCTCTGGGGCCGCGCATTGAACAAACAATATTGTTGAACACCGAGGCTGGGACGATACTAGCATCACGACGCGGCTGTCTCGGGATACTGGGATGTCTGCTAACTCACTGACACTCGTGCTCGGCACGTTCGCCCTTGGCCATGCAGGAAGAGAAGGACATCCGGATTTCTGGGAATTCAAACTTCGGAGCAGGGCGGAGGAGAGCGAGTTGAGACAGCGGCAGCTCAAAGTCGGTCCCTGAGCCCCTCTGGGGATCCAAACGCAACAGTTTTTCGAGCTGCGCCCAGCCGCGGCGACGAGGAGGCCCCCCGAAGGCCAACTACCGTTGTCTCCGCTCGCCCTCCTCTGACTTACCATCACTCTAACCCAAGCTTGATCGCATGCTCGGCCGTTCGCTCCTTGCCGCGCGGGGCAGAAAGAGGACCTGGAATAATTCCTGGAACGCATCATCGCCACTCGGGGACACTTCCAATTCGTGTTCGGAGGACTCGGGCTGGCCCGGCTGGGCCGCCAAGGAAAGTCACGAGACTTGGTCTCCCGCTGCAAAGTCCCACGAACACTGGACCGCCAAAATTCAGGACGGGCCTGGCGAAAAAACGTAAGCAAACCCAGGCTCCGACGAACTCGAGTCTTACAGTCAAGGTCGACTGGAGAGGACACGCGAGAGGACACAAGACCGTTCCAAGGGCCCCGTGTCCCTGGGAATGTAGAAATACGGGTTGCGAAGCACAAGACACAAGAGTAGCCATGATGTGGCAGGGGCCGATATGCGAAACAACCTCGACTGCACGCTGCCCCAACCCCTCACTCCTCGCCCCCCCGACGCCTGCAAGCAGCCGATCGGCGGCCCCGTGGCCGCGCACTGCAGCCCCGCCGAGTCCGCGGAGGCGGCCCGTGCAGCCAGGCCCGGCGGCTGCGGGGAAGCGGCGCTGGGAGGCGGCACCGCGCCGCCGGGCGTGGAGTAGCAGTACACGGCTGGCGGGTGCCCGGCCTGGGCAGAGGTTGCGCGCAGCGCGGGCGCAGGGGGAGGAGGGGGGGCGCGGGCGCGAGAGCACGCCAGCGCGAGCGTGCGGGAGCGCGCTCGAAGCACGCGCGCACGCAAGGTCACACATCCGCGCACGCGCACAATCGCACGCGGAGGCGCTCTCGCACTGCCTCGGACAAACCCCGGAATGCGCCAGGAGCTCGGAAAGTGGAGCGAATTTTTCGGAACCGTCGACGAAGCGCGCGGGCACGGGAAAAAAAAAAACGGTTCCTCCGCATCGGCGCAACTGCACGCTTTGAGTGCGATGCGCAGAGCGACAGCACTGCGCGCACATAAAACGCAAACATACGCTCTTTGCCGTCGCGGCCACGCGCGCAGCAACGCGGCGGAGCCAGTCAGCTAGGAGCCGGGAGAATGCCGCCGGCCACAGAAAAGCGGCTGGGGGTTCACGCAGCCCAAGCGAGTAGGGGGCCGCGTTGCGCGGGCGTCCCTCAGGAGGGCAGCCGAGAGGGGGCGAGCGGGAAAGCTACCAAAAGACACCACAAATGGCAACCGACGCAGCGCGGGAAGGGGAATAGGAGGAAGCGCTCGAGATTCACCCTGAAAGAAAGGCAACGGCAGACTAAACGGTCAACGCGGGAGGCTCGGCGAGACGCGCATATAGCCTGGGCCGGAAGACAGTCCGCGGCGGGCGCTCAACGACGAAGGGGCAGCGCGGGGAGGGCCCGGGAGCGAGAGGGCCGAAGCAGGCGGCCAGTGGGCCGCTGCGCAGGAGGCGCAGCGGCGGAGGCCAGGCACGAGGGCCTGAAACGAAAGACGCGCGGCGAGGCACAGCGCCGCCATGCAGGGGCGGAAGGCGAGGAGGCCAGGAGGATCGGCAGCAGCAAGCGGCAGGGGTCGCGGAGTTGCAGCGCGGGCGGGGGGGGGGGCGCGGCGCTCTGGCCGCGGCCGGCGCGGCGACCGTCCTGGCGCCGCCCGAGAGGAGCTTTCTGTGGAGAGGGCTACGCCGCGGCGCCCGCGCACAGCGCGCGTGGCCCGCCAGCCCGCGCGCCCAGAGCGAAGCGAGGTGGGAGACAATGGGGCGCGGGGGCCCGGCAGCGGGCGCCGTTCGGGGGCGGGTTCGGGGGGGCGGGGGGCGACGGCGGCAGCGCGGGCCCACGCCGCCCGGGCCGCGCGCGGACGGCCCCGCGAGAGCACAGTGGCCGAAGAAAAGGAAAGACACTAATGACACAGACACAAGACAACGGCTAGGAGCGGCGCGCGGGCGCCGGAGCAGCGGGCGCACGGGGGCGGCGGCGGGCGGGGGCGGGGGGGGGCGGCGGCCAGTTCGGGCGCTGGGTGGAGGCACGCCGGAGGCCGGGCGAGGTGGCGGGCAGGCAGATCCGCGCCATCAAAGCCCAGGGCCCTGCGGAGCGGGGCGAGGCAGCGCCGCTGAAGCCCGTCCCAAGAGACCAAGCCCAGCCAGGCAGCGACCGCGCCACTGCGGTGAATCGCTGCAGGGGCGAGCCCAGCCAGGAGCGCGGAATCGACTGGTGCGGCGCAGGAAAAGACAAGGCGCAGCGGGGGGGCCGGCCTTGCCCAGCTGCGCCGAGAGCGGGAGAGCCGCCGGCATCTGGCGGAGCGCAGACGCGCAGCAGCGCGAAGGAGCGAGACCGCGTCTCTCGATGCGACGAGGTCTTTCACCGAAGACGGGCGGGCCCCGGGGCGCGCCGGAAGGCTGGGCCCCCCCTTCCGCCCTCGCGCCGGGAGGGCTTGCACCCGCGAGCAATGCCGGGAAGGGAGGCAGGACGATGCGGCAACAGTGATCTTCAACGCTGCTACCACACTGAGTTCCCCTCCATCCTTCCTGCGCACGGTGGGCAAGCGCCAAAAGAGACCTCCGCCAGAGGCTGACGGGCCCACTGCGGGATCTCCGCCCCGAAAAGCCCTTCACCGGAGGATTATGCGCACTATGTGAAGACTGGCCGCCTGCGTGGTCTTCGCCCCGAACTGCCCCCCACCCGAAGATGACGTTGCTCTGCGGGAGCTCCGCCTCGAAAACACCCTCGGAGGATGATGTTCATAGGAGGAAGCGCGCGCGACGTCGATGGTTCCGCTCACGCCTGATCGGGGGCGCAACTCCGTTTTTCGCGCCGCCAGTCTGCCGCCGCCGGCGGCTTCGCCCGAACGAGCACCTCAGCGCCCGTTGCGCGAGTGTCATCAGCGAGGAACCGGGGGCACTGATTGCCCCGATGGCTGGACTGGAAGCACGGGCGGCGCACTCCCAGCGCCGGCAGCTCCGAGGGGGCGCTCCTTGGAGCGCACTGGCTCTCCGAGGCCGCGGAGGCGAGGCCCCTGCGCCCCTTCTTGGGCTTCCCGCTGACTGGCCCACCCTTCTTGCGCTTGCCCTTGGGCTCCATTCCCTCGGCGCCCTTCTTGCTCTCGTCGACGCCGTGGCCCGCGGCGGGATAGCTCGGCCCCGAACTCCTCTCGCCTGCCGCGGCCGCGCTCGAAGCCGAACCCCGACGGACCGGCGCCTCGGACTCTTCCTGGGCACCCGCCGCCGCCTCTATGTCCGCGCTGCCTCGCTCAGACGAGTCCGAATCTTCGTCGCTGCAAGGCGGCTTTGTGACGACGCGCGATCGTCTCGGGCGCCGCCCCCCCGCGCCCCCCCTCGTCGGCGCGATCCGCGCGACGAGAAGCCGGCCTGCCGATCGCGAGCGCCCAGTGCGCCGCGGCGGCGAGGAACTCTGCTTGCAGCGCAGTCACCGGACTCCACCGCGAGGAAGACTTTCCGCCCCGCACCTGGTCATTCCAGCGATCGGCCAGATCTTCCAAGGAGCGCGGGGCTAGACGCACTAGCTGGCCTAGATACGCCACTCGGAAAAAGTCCACGAGCCAGAGGAGCGAGCGGCTATCATCCAGGTCCTGGATCGTCGTTCGACCGAACGTGGGCCACTGGTCGTCCACATCCAGGACTTCCGCCTCGCCCTCGCCCGCCGCGTCTTCGCCCGCTGCGATCGCCCCCGCGATCGCGGTGGGCCCGGCACGCGGGCTCCGGCCCCGGCCCGAAGCGAGGCGCCCTTCTCGTGCTCTTGTCCTCGTTGCGCCCCTTCTGGGCTGGGGTTCCACCGCGCGGCGCCTTCTTCGCCTCGGGGGGCGGGGTCCCGCGGCCACAAGTCGCTTCCTCCTTGTCCGCCACGCGCTCCGCGCTGGGCGGGGTCCGACTGCTGCCCCGCCGCTCCGCGTCGCCACCCGACGGGGGCGACGCCCTCGCGTCGTCTCGGCCACCCGCGGCAGGGGGAGAGGCGGCCGCTGGCTCGCGCACGCAAGCGCGCCTCGGTGGCTGCGCGACAGGCGCTCGCACCAGATGGGGAGAAGACAAAATTGGACGGAGTGCCTTGTTGCTTCCCGTCGCCCAGCGCTTTGCTTCGCTCGATCGCCCGGGCGCCCATCTCATGCGCGCGCGCGACTCGTCCCCATGATCTCCCGTCCCCTATCGCCCAAACCCTCTTTCGTCGACCCGCCTGATATCGTCCACTGGCTAAGTAACCACCTCAATCCCCCTCTTTCGTTTCATCTCGTTGCGGGCCACGCGACGCGTGAGATTTCAGCGCGGCAAGTCGCGCAGCGTCGCACCGATCATCGGGGAGATCGCCCTCGATCTTCACACGATCGCACAGGCTCCGACAATGGGTGAACAGCGCGAGCGGCATCTGCGCCTCGCCGTACTCCACCGGCGCGTTGCTCCATCCATGCAAGGCTTCGCGCAGGAGCGCCCGCGTGCAGTGGGCCATGCCGTGGCCCGCGAAGCACGCCGCCGTCTCGGCGGAGAACATTGACGTCGCCGCGCGGTGGCTCGCCCGACTGCGTCAATCCAGGATGAATATTGGCGGCTCTTCCTGCTCCATACAGTCCAGGTCGACGGCGGCCGCCACCGCTCCGGCCTGTGACCAGATCTTGTGACGGTCGAACCTCTTGAAAGCCTCGCCCTCCTCGATGAGTTCGCGGACGTGGCCGTGAAGCGAGGAATCGTGCCAGCAGCCCACCCCCATGCGTCCCCTGATCGGTGCGCTCCTCCGGCAGGTGCCGCGGCTGGCTTTGACGTCCCTGATGCATCTGTTTAGCTCCCGGGCGTCCGCATGCGCGGGTTCCTTCTGCAGCTTCTGGAATCGGTTCATCTCGAAGGCCTCGTCAATCCAGTGGTCCGGCCAACCAGTGTAGGGAGCCCACCGCCGATTGAAACTCTGCCCTGCCGAATGGGGTGAGCCGCGCAACCTCCTTCTCCGTCCTGCTACAATCGACTTCCTCCAGACACCCGTCAATGAACTCAGGCGTGCTCGCCTCTACGCAATCCCCGTTCACGGTCACCCGGCGGCCAGTGCACAGGTCTCCGTTGGTCTGTGCTGACACCGCCGTCCAGAACCCGATAGTGAACCTTTCTCTGAGCTTGGCTTCCTTGCCCTGCATCTCCGCACTCCCGTCGTGGGCAATTATGCAATCGTCCACGTGGACGATCAACATGCCAGTAAGGCGGTCGCCCCAATACAAGCAGAAAAAAGCCATGCCCAGCTGCAGCTGCTTCCTGCTCATCTCGTCGACCAGGACCTTGCGGAAGGCGTTGAACCAGGCGCGCGGGGCGTCCGGCAGCCCTTATATCCCTTTCTCGATGTTGAGCAGCTGACCTGGCTCCAACCTGGGCGGACCGCCCCGCGGCTGGCGCGCGCACAGCGCTTCCCGGCCCTGGAGCGGCCCCCCTTGGAGGAACGCGCTCGACATGTCTCCGATCGACAATCGGGGAAGCCAGCCGAGATTCGCGGACAGCCTCCGGAAAGCATGGACCGCTGCACCGCGGGAGCGCGGCCGTCTCCAATCCTAGCACTGGGGTCGCGCTGGCCTTGCACGCGCAGCCGGGCCTTCGCTTTCGCCGGGAGCGGGGTCCCAGCGCTCCGTTGAGTAGCGCTCCTGTCTTCCAGTTTCATGTCGCTTTCGAAGATTCGCTGGTGGCCCACCTCTCTCAGCACCTCTTCCGACTTGTCCGGCTCGCCGCAGACAGGGGCCCCCCCGACGCATCAGGGACCCGCGACGCTCCGGGGGGCAAACGGCAACCCACCAATTGGGGCAAATCCATTAGAAGCCACGAAATAACTAAGCGCCTTCGGTTCAATCACAGTTTGAGGGAATCTTTTATATTTAGCACTACATTTTGCTCAAGCCATGGTCGCGAAACCCGCATCGATAGTCGGCTCGCTTTTCCCCGCGGCAGGCGAACCCAAACCAATCAATTTGGTTTTGGTTTGTGACGGGGCGACGCTCTTACCACTCACAACCGGTGGGATCGCTCAACTACAGTGTCTTCGAACATGGCCCGCCACGCGTTGTTACTGCTGTACTGACCTTGACCGCTGCCACCATGACCAGCACCACCACATTGACCACTACAACTATGACTATCAGCACCAGCTTGAACACTGCCTCCAAGATCAGCGCCATGACCACGGACGTGGACAAAAGTGAAATGGCCACTGCGACAACAACGGAGGAGGGCACCGTGGAAACGAAGACGACTGGAGCCTCTGTGTGGAATGAGGGTGGGGAGACGACAACAGGTGCATCCACCGCGACGTCTGCGGAGACGGCGACCACCACGGATGTGGGGACAAACGAAGAGGGCACAGCAACAGCAATTAAGAACAGCACCATGGTTGATGATACGACTGGAGCCTCTACTATCTCGCCCGGAGAGGATGTGACCGCCACCAAGGGAGATAACATTGCGACAAGGACGACTTACAAACAATGGAATGTGGACTTGGAGACGACGAGTGCAGCATCCATGGCGACATCTTCTCAGGAGGCGACTA